AAAAAAAAAATCCTTTCAGAAAAGGGCCATTAAAGGATAGGAGACAAGGATGGTTTACTCCATTATTTTCCATCTATAGTATCCCATATTATATAATAGAACATAACCTTCTCTCTCTCTCTATATATATATATAATATGCAATGTATGTTACACAGACACACATACCTCAAGCCATCAAGCCTCACTGTAAACAAGCCACCAGCACTGGTGCCATGAAGCCATTGTGGCAGGGAGGACTTGACACCTGCCAGCCACCCACTTTGTCACAGACATGGGATGAACTGCACGCCTCAGCTACTCACCCCAGAGCATCCCTTAATAGGAGAAAACATTTCTCTGCAACCATGGTAATACAGGAGCGAGGAGGGCTGAGACTCGGTGAAGTCCCAGGGATTCTTCCAGCTTTGGCTGGCAAAAGGGCCAGAGACTTGCTGAGATAGACTCCTTGGAATAAAACTGAGTTGCGTTCTTGCAGGAGACTCACGGAGACAATGCCCTATGTGCCACCAGCCATTCTCACGCTGGCTGGGCAGGGTGCTTGTGAGTCAGCCAGCCTTCCCAAACACAGAGCCCAATGGCTGTCTTCCTCCCCGCACTCCTGGTCTCTCCCATGAGGGACATAAACAGAGAATTAGACTCTCAAACCTCCTTTCCATAAAACAAAGGAATGATGAGATAGATAGAATTGACGTGGAGATCGCTTTGCTATTTTGCACATAACAAGCAAAACAAAACACAATAACCATAACATAGCATCTTTATTGATGTTTTTCTTATACTTTAGAATGTGGAGACATGAAATATAGATCAAGATTTGGGTTAAAAGGGGCCAGTGGTAGAGAATGGGAAGCCCCTGGGGAGAAGAATCTACTCAGCTGCCCCATTCAGGTGGCATGCTGAAAATGGATTTGATTCAGACTTCAACAACCTAGCCTCTGCTTTCTACAATCTAGGACATGAATGCATTAGCACTTGGACTTGGGCTTGAATTGCAAATTTGATTTTGTTGTTCATATTAAAAAAAGAAGCTACACCAGATGCTTGGAAAACATTAGGATTTTGCTGGCTAGGGAACAAAAATATTATCATTCTACCTATTTGTATTTTGAAGATCCAGGAAGCATATTCTCTCTCTCTCTCTCTCTCTCTTTCTCTCTCTCTCTCTGTTGCCATTGTAGCTGTGTGTCACTGAATTGGAAAAATTGCAAAGCTAAAGCCATATCGATATTATTTCATGGAAACTTATGCCCACAGAAGCCAGCTGCTATTAACCCAATTTTTAGAGAAAGAAATCAAGGCTTGTAAGTTTCTCTCACTATTAATTCAGCAGTTATTCACTGACTGTCTGCTGGGAGGAAGCTCCCAAAACTAAACAGAACTGAAAAGTCTCCACCTTAGCATGATTTCCTTTCTCTCTTTTTTTTTTAATTGTAAAGATACTATACAGCGGGTTATGGTTATATGAGTAAGGTAACGAGTTCACTTCCTATTGAGCATTGTTACCCCCTCCTTTGTTTTCCCCCTACCATCCCTTCCCTCCCTACCTTCCCCAAGGTTCTTTTTTTTTTAATTGTGATTAAGTGATTACATAATTTCCCGAATTTCACAATATTGTGGAATAATGATGCTCATTTAAAGTTGCAAGTTCATTCTAACTTTCCTGGACTTCCTTTCTCTTAAAGAATGTTTCTGCCATCACTTATAGGTGTCAGCTCTTGGAAAGGGCTGCATGGTTTTTCCTGGCGTTCAGACTCAGAGCCTTTCTCCCATTTCTCTGGCCCTGCTCTCTGTACCGCTGCACCAGTTCAGCCAGCTAGACATGAAACTTGGGTTCCTGGCAAGGCCTGCCCGTCTGCACCTTTCTGTCTCTGCTCCCTGTACCCATTACATGACCAAGAAGAGAATCATGGGCCTGCGCTTTCTAAAGTCTGGTTCATTTTTTTTTAAGTCAAGGGGTTTTTTTGTTGTTGTTTTTGAAGCTTAACATTACTTGGGAAGGTCTCCGAGCCCCATTTCCACGTGGCCCAGAAACTGTGATGTTTGAACTGTCCTCCGCAAAGAGCTACATACGTTCGTGTATCCATCATACTTGCCATCAGAAGTGTGGCTTCCCGGTTTGTTCCATAAATAACATCATTTGCTAGTGATGTCTACCTGCTCTGATGGAGTGAACCATTATTTTCTTTGATGTCAAATTCCAGTGTGTCCCAGTTAGGGCCAAGTTTTTAGCAGTTCAAGAGCCTCTGCCAAATGACTGGGTCTGGTGTTGTGATTAAAAATAACTAGGCTTAGCTGGGCACCGGTGGCTCACACCTGTCATCCTAGCTACTCAGGAGGCTGATATCTGAGGATCATGGTTCTAAGCCAGCCTGGGCAGGAAAGTCCGTGAGATTCTTGTCTCCAATCAACTACCAAAAACAAAAAAAATCTGGAAATAGAGTTGTGGCTTAGGTGGTAAAGCATTAGCCTTGAGCCAAAGAGGCTCAGAAACAGCAACAAGGTCCTGAGTTCAAGCCCCAGGATCAACAACAACAACTAAATACACATACACACACATACACAAAGTTTAGAAACAAGAGTTCAACTGGAGTTTTGCTCAAGACCTTTGTCTAGTCTGCTGACTAAATGACTAAACGGAGTCTGTGTATGAGAAGGCACATAGCAGCTGAGTGACCTTTCTCAAAATTGGTGCGGTGACTCCGGGTTGGTTTTGCTGTGCGTGGGCTCCCGCAGAGCCTCGCCAGCTCCCCGTGAGCGCCACGGCGTGGCTTGAGGGGCCCCACGCCCTCTCCCGTGGTTGTCCAGTTCACAGCACCTCTGCTTCTGCCCCTCCCCACCCCTCCCTCACCTGCTTTGGCCTGAGCAGGGCTGCTCACCCCTTCCAACTAGCCCGGCCTTCCCTGTGCCACACAGCGGCCATCTCCCGTGCCGGGCCCTTTAGCCAGACACACGTCAGGCCCTTCCTGGCAGAAAGGAAGCTGGCAAACATGTGAGTTGACTTTTAAATCAGTAAGCACACGGGGTTAGAAAAACTTCTCATTGGACTTCTAAAATGAGCCCCATTCAGAGAACAGAACACGTAAAACCCGAGGGTAAGAGGTCATGGCTTCCACTGCCAAGAAGGAGGAGCTGCAGAGCAGGCATTCCTTCCAGCCCCGCCGCCTCCTGTGCTGGTGCAAGGGTACCTCGTAGAGCCCCGTGAATAAACAGTAGAATTAGTCACTCCCTTTGCAGTGACTTACTAACCACTGCGAAGACCCTGAACGCCCGGCGCAGCCCCGCAGAGCCCTAGTAAGCATGGCAGCCCGCCCCTCCCTTCTTCACACCTGGCACACAGGTGAGACACCTGCCCCCAAGTGCTGGGAAGCCACAGCAGAGAAGCAGGAAGTGCTCCGACAAGCATTCCAGTGTAGTCAACCCAGTAAAGGAGGGGCAAGAGAGACCCCCCCAGGGGTGGGGAGTATGTGGCTGGGGTAGGGAAGGGGGAATAAGGCTTCCTATAGGAAGGGAACTCTGAGCTCCAACCTGGAAAAGTAAGCATGTATTACCAACAAGAAGGGGAGAACGAATATGTATGGCAGACGACATGGACAAAGCCCTGGGGCAGAAGGAAGCAGGTGTGACACATATAAAGAATGAACGCAATTTTAGAAGACTTGGTAGAAAATGTACGATGGAGGAAATAATGGGAGAAAAGGGGGATGCTGCTCAGGAAGGGGGAAAACAAAACAAAACACACCTATAGTCCCAGCAGAAGGATGAAGAGTTCAAGGCCAGCCCGAACTACACAGTAAGACCCTATCTCAGGAAGAAAGGGAGGGAAGGGAAGGGAGGAGAGGGAAAGAAGGGGTAATCTAAAATGCCAAGTAGTTTCAACAGGCATCAGTATGGATTGTACTCTAAAGGTCATTGCAGGCTTTATAAATGGTAAAGAAAGGATTGTCTATCTTAAGGTACTGGTGTAGAGGGGAGTAGGAGAAGGAAACAACGAATAAAAGAATGGATGAAAGAAAGAGTGTATAGATGAAAGAAGACAGGCAAACAGACTGGTTGGTGCCCTGGCTGGAAGAAGGGTGGTGTGGGTGGATGTGACTAGACTGTCCTGGTGATGTGCGAGGTTTCCAAACCCTGCTCCAATTTCTTGAGTAACTGGGTTGAGCAGGGATCTGGAGGACACTGGTACGGATCGAGTTTGAGTGAACGAGTGACCGGAAGCTCAATGCTGAGGTGTCAGATGTGGAGTTACAGTTGTCAGTGGAATCCAGGTACCCAGAAGATAGTTTGAAACTGTTGTAATGGAAGCATGGGCAGCAATGTGTAGAATAAGCAGAAGGAAAGATCGTGTATGACACAACATCAAGGAATCCTATCATTTGGGATAAACAGAAAATACATAAGAAAGTGAGAAAGGACAGATGGAAAGAGGAGGCAATCCAAATGAGTGTGGCATCATGGAAGCCACTGGAAATGTGCTCCTGAAAGACTGCAGGTTACTGTAGCAGTGTTAGAAGAGGTAAAATAAGAGGGAGTCTTGTGTTACGTCAAATAATAATCTTCCATTGGATGCAATGCAGTAAACAGGTTAAGTTCCATCTTCTTAAGAGATTTTTGTTTTGTTAGTGTTCTTCAGAATACAGTTGATCACCCCAAAGTGTGGCAAGAACTTAAGGATTCAAGTATTAATATCTTCCTCAAGTATGATGTGTTTTGGTCTAATTTTTGGGTCTAGCATGTGTTTGGAAAAACAATGAGCAGACAGTTCTTCTCCAGATCTTTTCTCTCTTGCCCCACTCTCTAATCATTCATTTTGCTAAATCATTAGTTGGCTAAATCTTAGCCCTCTGAGTTCTGAGCTTGAATGGCAGGGTTCACTGATGATGAAATTGGAACTCTCCTATCTTATTTGGAGTCTCTTCCTGGCGGTGCATGTGATACTTGAGTGGTACAATATGACTCGGGGGGTTAGTCATCCTCTCTTCCGTTTCTTTTCCAGCTCCAAGAGACTGTGAAGAGGAAGTTGGAAGGAGCCCGCTCACCTCTTAATGGCGACCAACAGAATGGAGCTTGCGATGGGAGTTTTTCTCCGACAAGCAAGAGAGTCCGGAAGGACCTTCCTGTGGGAATGGACGCCATTAACAGTCTCCCCAACAGCATGCCCCTGCCTTCGGCTTCCCCTCTTCACCAGCTGGACCTGAAGCCTTCTTTGCCCTTGCAGAACAGTGGAACCCACGCCCCGGGGCTTCTAGAAGATCTGAGTAAGAATGGTAGGCTCCCGGAGATTAAAATCCCTGTCAACGGCTGCAGCGACCTAGAGAACAGCTTCACTCTCTTGCAGAACAAGGACCTCAAACAGGAGCCTCTGGACGACCCCGCCTGCATGGACACTTCAGAGACGTCCCTTTCTAATCAGAACAAGCTGTTCTCAGACATCAACCTGAATGACCAGGAGTGGCAGGAGCTGATCGATGAATTGGCCAACACGGTTCCCGAGGACGACATACAGGACTTATTCAATGAAGACTTCGAGGAGAAGAAGGAGCCGGAATTCTCACAGGCAGCCACGGACACCCCGCTGTCCCAGGAGAGTACCAGTGTCAAGAGTGACCCCTCTCACTCGCCTTTTGCCCATGTCTCCATGGGATCGCCTCAGGCCAGGCCCTCATCTTCCGGTCCTCCCTTTTCTACCGTCTCCACGGCCACTAGTTTACCCTCTGTGGCCAGCACCCCTGTGGCCTCCAACCCCGCCGGCTCGCCAGCAAACTGTGCGGTCCAGTCCCCCCAAACACCAAACCAAGCCCACACTCCTGGCCAAGCCCCGCCTCGGCCCGGCAATGGCTACCTGCTCAATCCTGCAGCAGCCCCGCCAGTGGCGGTGGCAGGCTCTGGGTCGGGGCCTGTGGCTGTGCCCAGCTCTGACATGTCCCCCGCTGAGCAGCTCAAGCAGATGGCAGCCCAGCAACAACAAAGGGCCAAACTCATGCAGCACAAGCAGCAGCAGCAGCAACAGCACTCAAGTCAGGCTTCAAGTTGGTCTCCCTTAGGGCCGCCCTCCAGTCCGTACGGAGCTGCATTTACTGCGGAAAAACCAAACAGCCCAATGATGTACCCCCAAGCCTTTAACAACCAAAACCCTGTAGTGCCTCCGATGGCGAACAACCCGCAGAAGACGTCCATGAATAACTACCTCCCTCCCAACCCCATGACTATGATCAGTCAGCAGCCCAGTAGCCTGGGGCCCAACTCCTTAAACAAGCAGCACGGCCTTCTCTCCTACGGCAACACTAAACCTCTGACTCACTTCAACGCGGACCTGAGCCAGAGGATGACGCCCCCCATGGCCAACCCCAGCAAAACCCCCCTGATGCCCTACATCCAGCAGCAGCCACAGCCACCCCACCCACCCCAGCCGTCGCCGCAGCCACCAGCCACGCAGCAGCAGCAGCTCCAGGCGCCCAGGGCTCACCTGAGCGAGGACCAGAAGCGCATGCTCCTCCTGAAGCAGAAGGGAGTGATGAGCCAGCCCATGGCCTACGCCGCCCTGCCGGCCCACAGTCAGGTAAGTCTGTCCTTGCGGCCGCTCTGGCGGTGGCTCGCGCGGCATCTTTCACGGGGCCTTCCCGGCAGCCGCTGCTCCCGGAATGGGGTCTGATTGCCTGCAGAAATCCTCCTGGCCGGCCTCGTGTGGTCTGGAGTCTCTGAGTGCAGAAAAGCAATCAAAAGTTATGGAATCTGAAGTTCTCCCTATGAACCCTGGGAGATAGGCCCTGCCAGGGCTATGTAACCATCTTGGCCGGGTCCTCTAGTCTTAGAGCCGGGTAGAGGGAAGGCAGACATGTCTGGGGCCTATCGGTTGCCGTTTGATGAGGTTCTGAGCAATCGCCAGCTAGCTTACGTAAGTGGCGAATGGGGGGGAGATTCGGATTCTTGTTGCACAAACATGGAGGCGTTCTTCTGTGTTTTCAAAGTGAAGCAGATGGGCAGGTTTTTGTAGGACGGTTCAATGCATAATGGTTTCATGTGAAAATGTCTCCCATTGCGTGGCTTGTACGTGAGGCCTGTCCGACTCCTTTGGTTCTAATTCAGGAACTTTGATAATGAATATATCTCAGTGCTAAATTAAGATAAAGCCCCCTCCCCACCCTGCACTGGGTCTTCCTTGGATATCCTGTGTGGGAGGTGAGGCTGTTTGTGATTCCTGGTAGAAAGAGGAGCCAGGCCAGTGGACACAGAATGAATGCTGATCTCTTCAGACCAGCCAATGGCTCGATGCCAAAGTTCCTTCCATTTAAACCCTTTACTTTTAAAAGGAAAGTGGCAGGTCCACCCCCTAGTGATGGGGTGTCATTTTGGGACCAGATGTAGGTATTGTAGTTGGAGATTCCATGGAAGTGTGCTTTGCAGTCTAAATGACTGCTTTGACTGGGCTCCACAATCAGATACAGCAGGAGACGTGGACGTTGTGCAAGCAGATCTGAGCTCTGCATGACTGTTTCCATCTTGTATCTCACCGAGCACCCCAACTTACTCCCCTCCACCTGTCCCCACCCTCACCCCCAGGCTTAATGGAAGCCACAGGGCTGAAGGAGGTGCTGGCCTGCAGAGACAGGCCTGGGTTCTGGGACTCTGGCCCCGCGAAGCCTTCCAACCCCACACCTCACGGTGGCTTTCTTGTCTGCACATGTCGGCCAGCTCTAAAGAAATTCTGACTTGATACATGGAAGTACACCTTGTTTTTACATCAATGGCAATCAGCAGCTGGTAGAAAAAGCATCACTGAAATGTGAACGCTTTATGTTTTATCGTGGTTTAAAAGAGCAATGTTTTATACATGTCAAGATTAAGCTCTGAAACTGGGGGGGGGGGACAGAAACAATACCCAGAGATGTTTGTGGTGAGCCAGATACGTCACGAGGTTATGAGATAGCAGACTGTCAGATGATCTGGTGTTAATCTTAATACAAATTACGCCTCTACCGTCACTGTTTTTATACCAGCATTTCCTCTGAGCCAGACCAAAGATGAGTAATTCCAGCCCACATACTCTGCAGCAGTGTGGGCGCCTTGATTCCCCCTATCCTCCCCCCCCCCCGCCCGCTCAGCGTTTAGAAATGTGCTAACTTGGGGCAAAGTTGCTGTCTTTGCTAGAACATGAATTTTAAGGGTGCTCATTCCAGGTCCTTACGCTTGTCAGACTGTGAAGTCACTGAAGCCTTCAGCCGCAGAGGTTCTGTTTTGAAAGGGCTCAGCGAAGTGAGGAAGCGACGTGATGGCTTTCTGCGTTAAGTCTCTGCGCTGCTCCTCCCTTCCTCCCCGCTCACCCGGCTTTGAGTGGACAGAATCTTCCCTGGCAAAACCTCATCACAATAATCGTTTCTTAACCTCATAAAGCACCGTCGGGCGAATGCATGCTTCTAAATGACCCTGTTCGCAGCCAGGCTTCAAAAGACTCCATGTGAATATTGCGCTGCATTTATTCCTTGTTTTTTATCTTGATGGTGGGGCAGTATTTATGAAGCTAGCAGAATAGTTGGTTACTCAACTACATAGCACAACTACTCACACGAATTACAGGCTAGATACAAAATATAATTCCACTTAGTTTTCTGCTGTTGCTAGTGAAAAAAAAATCACTTGATTCTTTTGTGGCCATGAGGCCTATGATCAGCACTTCGTTTTAATGAATAGCTTGAGCACCAAAGCCAATAGCAGACGTCTAGACACTTTTATTTCAAGAAAGCTATCTTATATAGATATTTACTTATTTGGAACACTTGTAAAAATGCCCTTTCTGTCAGAAACAAGTAGAAAGGCACACTCCTCTTGGCTATTTCAAGAAAAGAAAGGAAAAAGAGAGAGGAAACTCCAAATAGAAACAAAAATCCTTCAGATTTTTGGATGTATCTTATCTAGCAATTTTACTTAGAATTTCCATGTTATTCTTCATAATGGGCTCAAACAAAAATTATGCTCATGGTGTTATTTCTGACACTGAAAAATTGGAATCAAAAGGAGCATTTGGGGAAAATATATAATCATGATACTGGTTTTATTCAACTGTAATATCCATAATGTGAGTAAAATAAGCAGATTGCCAAACAGTTTACTACAATCCATGGTTTGTTGTTTAATATGTATGAAATATATGAATAATATGAAAATATAAAATAATATGAAATATAAAATATAAAATAAAATAAAAAATATAAAATAATATAAAAAATAATAGGAAGGGAGCCAGGCACCAGTGGCTCACGCCTGTAATCCTAGCTACTCAGGAGGCTGAGATCTGAGGATCGCAGTTCACGGCCAGCCCAGGCAGGAAACTCCGTGAAACACTGTGAAACTCTCCAATAAACCAGCAGAACACCGGAAGTGGTGCTGTAGCTCAAGTGGTAGAGTGCTAGCCTTGAGCTGAAGAGCTCAGGGACAGCCCTCAGGCCCAGAGTTCAAGTCCCACAACCGACAAAATAATAATAATAGGAAGAGGCCTTCAGACGGAAAAAGTTGAGTGACTGTTGTTTGCTTTTCATAGTTCACTGAATTTTCTCTTTTTTCTATCATACATATATGTTCATTCTACCTTCTTATATTCTACCGTCTTATATTTTATTTTATTTTTAATTTACTATTATTATTTTGCCAGTCCTGGATCTTGAACTCAAGGCCTGGGCACTGTCCCTGAGCCTCTTTGTGCTTAAGGCTAGCACGCTACCACTTGAGCCACAGCGCCACTTCCAGCTTTTGCTAAGTAGTTTATTGGAGATAAGAGTCTCATGAACTTTTCAGTCTGGGCTGGCTTTGAACCGTGATCCTCAGATCTCAGCCTCCTGAGTAGCTAGGATTACAGGTGTGAGCCACTATCACCTAGCAGAAAAATGTTTTTAAGGAAGAGAAACTACCTACTTTAAAAATGTTTACATCTTGCTGGTTCTTTTTTAAAAGAATATTTTCAGTTGAACTGATTTGCCACTTGAATTAAAATACCTCCATCTTTCCTGTTATATACAATAGTTATGGATTCCTGCTTATAATTCTAAAGTCTCCCTCATACACTGTCTCTTTTCTCTCTCCATTCCCTCTTTTTATTCCTTACATCATTTCCTGATTTCTGTGAAACTTAAATTAATATTGTGATGATGAACATACCAAGAAAGTTTTCACTATTGTAAATTTTCCAATTTTCTCTAGGACATGTTCTTGTGTTATTTCTTTGATGAGTTCACCTTTCCCTTTGCTCCCTTAAAAAATCAACTTTGAAATATTCATCTGGGATTACCCTCTTTATCTTCCAAATATGTATTTCTATGATGAAATAATCAGAACTTACTTTAGTCCTGCCCACCCCTTAGCTCATCTCTTTTTCTTAAGGTATATATGTGTGTGTATGTATATATATTTCTCTCTCTCACACACACACATAAGCACACACACAAACATACACACATGCACGTACACATATTTCAGTTAATTTTCAAATAGTGCCTAACAGTGAATCTTAAATACAAGGATGTTTAATAAATCATCTGATGGTAACTATTCAAACTTCGGCCATGTGTTTTCAATTCATTATTGCTTCCAGTGGAGAAAGCGTTAGCGCAGATGACACAAAGCTGCTTTGGAGATCAAACAGAAGAACTGGAAAAGCAAGTCTAAAAAAGAATCCTTTGATGGGAGGAGGTTATCTTCAGCCAGTGGTGCCACAGTGAGATTGCTGGGAAGGCAAACTCCATCCCTGTGTCCCACAAACAAAACTCAATGGAGCAACTCTGGGAGAAGTAAGCCAAAGGCAAGGCACCGACCGCTTGCTGGTCAAGGAAGGCCACAGGCCTACCCTGAACCCGAGAATAATTCCTGTATTGACCCATGGAAAATGGACGATTCCCAAACTGGGATGTTAACTTTTAGTACTACCATTCACAGAACTAGATAAATTATAGACCACTCTGCTTTTCCTCTGTGTGTGTGTGTGTGTGTGTGTTCTCTGTGTGGCTGGATTTATCCTCAGTAGATATGTCTACCCCCTTTTAATTTTATTGTACCAAAATGTCTAAGGTATATTATTACAGACTTTTAGCCTTAACATCTCCATTGGAAGAAGAGCCATTCAGTGTCCATCATTGTAGAAGAAAGCGCCTTGAACATGCATTATCCTTAACTTTAAAAGCTTGAAACCCCTTTTTGTCTGTTTCCTTAGATATACACCCCTTATCTTATCTGAGGACTCCATGGGCAAACTTTAGGAAATCAGTGTATTTTGCCAGGCTTGTGTTAAAAAACAGCCATGGTCATCTCTTCATTTCTGCTTCTCATCAAAGCCACTGAGAGCTCATTATGTTGTTTTTCTCATTGAGCTCACAAACTGCTGCTTCTTCATTTTTCAGTTATTTGGTTTTATAGAAAATGTCTTAAGCTTGCTTATACTCCCTCCTTGCAAATACATACCACCTCCCTGAAATTTCTTTCTCTTCCTATTCTCAGACTGTGACTTTAGATTATTATTTTTAAATTACTCTATATTTATGCCACTCAATTTGTACAGTGCATCATGATTTAGCC